ACTCAGATTCCTCCAAAGTGTTGACTGTGCCGGGTCTCAACTCGTCAGCCCGTATCCGAGCATATCCTCTGCGAAGTCTGAAAATCTGAAAAGCTAATCAAACTTACTTTTAAGTAGTTCTTCAACTTCCTCTGGAAGCGTTCGTAGTCGAACGTCCCTCCCGCTGGTTTTGTTGACCCGTACGGCATACTCCTGGATAGTTTGAGGGGGGTTAGTAGCCTACAAAAAAGTTATATGACTTTAGTAAGAAAAAAATAACTGTATTGGACTTACCCGCAAAAGTATAAAACGAAACAGAGAAGTGAGTTGTTGATGTAGGTTGTCTCTTTTTCTGGGTTCCCACTGGGTAATCAATTCGTTCAGTTTAAGCTGAATAAAATGTTTAAAAACTTACACAATCAAAACAACCACTTACCTTTGCGAATGGTGCTGGGAAGTTTAGAGTCCATATTTTAGCGCAATTCTGCAATGAGAGAGTCCGGTCTTGACCGGATGGTGTCGTCTTTTCCGTGATTTCGATCATTCGTGCCACCTTCTGCTGCTTTGATAGAGCTAATTCGCCCTGTAGATAACATAAGAAGAAGAAGAAACAATGGCGAAGAAAAAGATGGATGTATCAGTTGACAAGCCATTAGCCTCGCAGCTAGAGCATTTAGAAGTGGTGCGTCGGGCCTGTCGAGACGATTAAGGTCGTCGAAACGTAGACTTGCCTTGGTCGCGATTTCCGATTTTACAAACTTCTGAAATGAAATGACCATAAAATACGAGCACTGGCTTGTAGAGCGTAAGGCAAACTTACACCATGAGCCGCCTGGTTGAAGGTTTTTGCTCGCATTTTTGAGGCCATCATTTTTGCGGCCTTATCTAAGTGTAATGTGCCTCCAGAAAGGCACTCGAACAGCGACGTCATTGGGGGCTCCGCGGTAGGCGTTGGTTCCACCATGGTAAATTCTCGTCGTTCATATACGTTGCCTAAACAAAAAGATGTATGTTTGGTAGCTGGAAGTGATTACATCACATACCTTCCGGGAATTCTGCTTCTACGCCAACCGCCGGGACGTCTGATTCATCGTAAATGTCCTGATTTCTGAAAGTGTTTTCATTACTTACACTCATAAAGTAATCAGAGAGGTTAATCACTTACAATGTTCGCAATGGAGTTCGCTCCTTGATGTAGAGCCTTTGCGTGGAGGTGCGCTTGGTCCTCGGG